TTCTCCTGCTGATGTACGCCTGTGCCAAACAGCCAGAGAGCACTGTAGTTCTTGGCTTGCTGGTTCAGACTCACTTACCATCCAAGATGGATTCTTGAGATCCTCTTTGGCTGGTAAGTGAGTCTGTAACCAGCTGGGGAGGGTACAGACTTTGTCAATCAGCCAAGAAGATTTTTTCCTTGGCTGGTTGACCGGTCAAAGAGGATCAACACCGCACCTGAAAAAATAAATCAAGACCCCGGGGTTCCGGGGTTCAAGCCCTGAACCGCGGGGTTCGTTCCTCGGGACTGGCCTGAGACCCCCTCGCAAAACCCGGGAACCTGCCTTAGTAAAGGTAAACAGCATTATGGATAAGTACCTATGTAAATAAGTACAGGTGTTGCAGTTACTTGGTACATGAAAGGTACTGTGACATGTACTCTGTGGCTGACACTGCACCCGCCAGGCAGTGCCAGGTGTGGTACATGCAATGTTGGGCCAGCTACGCTGACTTTAGGGTCAGCAAAGCGTAGTGCAGCAAAATACCGCTAACACTACGGATGTTTTCCTTTAGCTTTTAGTGGTATCACACTATTGCTGATGGCCATGGGGGAAATTTTGATGCCGCTACGCAGCGTTACACCCCTTTTTTGCAGGGTTTTCCAGGAAAAAAAGTGTAAAACGGTGTAGTGTTAGCGGAGCGCTGCTAACACTACAGAATGACGAGCAGTTTTTTGGGGTTGCTACGCTTCCACTAGGGGGTTGTTTAGAATAGTTCAGCGTAGCGGCCCACCATTGGTACATGGTATCAATTTTCTTGAAAAATTGAACAGGTACCTAGGTACCAACAGCTACCCAAGTACAAACAAACAATCTCTACGTAGTGTAGCTAAAATAAGCTAACATTTAGCGTAGTTTTAGTGCAATTCTGCAAATCTTAACTCACACTATGCGCACAGGGCGCCAAAGCTTGTTAGACCATCTCCCCCTCAAGTTGCTATCCAAGCTGCCAATTCTCAAAGTTTGGCAACTGCGGCACGTTTGAGGTTTGGCTTCAAAATCCTTCCATCCCAAATGGAGGAAACCCATGTTCTCATCATACACTTGGGATGGAACAATGCTGGAGCTGAGAGCGCCTAGCACCTAGCTCAGTCAGCTCAGCCAGCTCTGGGATCCAGCTCATCCAGCTCATCCAGCTCTGGGATCCAGCTCATCCAGCTCATCCAGCTCGTCCAGCCCTGGGATCCAGCTCAAAACCTAGTTAGAGATGGCCCCGCACCATCCGGATATCCCCTCTGTTTTTCAGTGGAATTGGGCATCTGCATCTGCATCCACACCCTCACCAAGGTATCCGTCGTCCTGGGCGGGTATCCGAGTGGGTATCCACAGATACCCGCCCTTTAAATGGGTGACAAGGCAGCCGGCTGGAAGGATTTCCTTCCAGCCGGCCCCTGGGTCAGCCTTGCCTTTGCCTTTGATTGAGACCACTGATTGGTCAGGCCGTGCTTTGGATTGAATTTTAGTATTCCAAGCTGTTTCATATCTCAGGTTGGCATGGCCATTCCTTCCTTTGCTGGGCTTGGGCGGTTGTTTGGTTGGAGAGCTGAATGTCTCAGGAGAGGCTGAGGAAGAGCTGCCCAACAGCTGGAATGTTTTACTTCTGGTTGACAAGGTACATTTACCTTGCCGTCTGGAAGTAGGTACATGTGTACCTTGTCAACCGGAAGGTCTTCCTTCCAGCCTGCCATCTCATCCTCTCTGGGTTTGCCGTGATCATTTGGGATGGCCGGCCGTGGGATTTTGGCACATGTATCGGCCTGCAACCAGGGGATAAGGCAACTTATGGACGGGTATCCCTGAGGATACCCGGATATCAGCCGGGATTTCACGGAAAAGGGAGCATCCGCAGGTGGATATCCACCAGCGGATAACTGGTTTAAGACTCAAAAGTGGTTATGAAACCCTTTTGCTGAATGGAGAAGGGTATGTTGGAGTTGCAAGCTCTGCTCTTATATACTATCAGAATAACCAGACCACCAAGCTTAGCTTGGCAATTTTATATATAGTGATAGGGATAAGTTCAAGATGAAGCTTCCAATTGATATGTATAAGGGTAGAAAGATGTTATTGATTTTTGGTTATATTGATGAAGTTGTTGTTGATGAATATGGTGATGATAAAATATTGTTGAGGATGGGGCTTTGAACGCAGGTCCTTGGCCTTGGGGTATATAAAGTTTAAAAGAGTGAGTTTTGGGAGCACTATGCTTCAACCAGGAATGGAATGGGTTCAGGGCACTTTTGTTTTATGATGATAATGAAAAGGGTTTTCAGGGCACTTTTGATTTATGATGATAATGAAAGTGTTATAAGTGTATTTCAATGTATATAGAGCTATAAATGTTAAGTGGCTATGACTTGTAGTTATGAAATAATATATAAGATGGATTTATATATAAGGGTGGTTCAGATGATCTGGTCCACTGGTGGGATCATGGGGGGAACAACTGGCTGGCAGAGGCCTCCTTATATAGACAAATGTGAGGGATTTTGGCCCCAGGGTACAGGCTGTGAGATACTACTACAAAGGGATGCATATGAATGAATAAAGGGACACATATGTATGATCAAAGGGATGCATACATGCAATATTACAAATACAAAGGCATTCAAAATAATGTAAAGGTATTCAATATTCTACAAAGTTATTCAGTATGCAATATGCATCCTGTATTCATAATGAATATGGCTAGAGTGCAGAATACAATGAAATATCCCGTGACAGGTTGAAATCTGTGTAACTTCTAAACTGTAAGAGATAAAGGTATGGTTGTAGTGAGTGACTAGGGGTTATTTTACCTGAGGATTACATTTATGTTGTCATTTTTACCATATATTGAATTTATAAAGAGATAAAGAAAATTTTTCATATTTTCTGCGTAGAAACACAGTATTATTTACCACACCGGTATTGGCAATGGATACCTGGAGATAAGGGTGTAACCCGAACCCTGCGCCCCGGGTCATTTCACGGGTGGTGACACCCGGGTGTCGGTCCGCGGGTTGACTCTCTGGAAGCACCCGAACACCCGGGTAGTTGTGGTGGGGAGGGGAGGAGTGGGGAGCCGAGTAGGTGTTTGGGGAGATTGTAGCTTGGTATTTCATTGGGGCATCATCGGAGCTGTCATTACAACTTGTAGAAAGCAATATGAAATAAAAAAAAGGATTGAGTTGTGGTGTGAAGGTGTAGTAGTCTAGTAGTAGTACTAGAGCGAGCCAGGATTTCAAGCATCTAACCGAGGTAAATAAGTTCAAACAACAGGCCCGGCAAATTACTGATACCAATCTTTGATGCAAAGAAGCTCTTCAACAGTTTGCGGGCCGAGTGAAGAGCGCGACCAAGAACAGACCCGACGACCTTTGGAAAAGACCCTCTCCGATGAAGCGCTTGTAGCCGGTATGGCTAGATAACATCAGGCCATTCTGGCCAAGGTTGGGAATGAGTGTTGTCGGCTGCGCCAGTAAGCAAGTAGCTTAGTTGTCTTAGGCTCCGGGTCTTCTTTTAGATATCGCTTGATCTCGGAATCAATCGTGTCGACCGGAGCGGTAGGTTCATAGAATTCGGAATCGAAGAAATCAATAACTGCCCTGCTGGCTGGAGCTTTATTAGACTGACTATCTTGATTGTTGGATGGGTCCTTTTTGTACTTGTCGTTGAATTCATTTGCAAGATCATGAAATATTTCGAGTGCTTGCTCTACTGAGATGTTGTAGTGTTTACCAATGAAGTCGGCATGTTTTTTCCAGAACGTAAGCTTGAAAGTTGGGTCGAGGATCATGGCACAGAAGTAGGCTGGTTTGGTGAGCGCATTGCGAATATAGAAATCGATTTTGTTGATCACATTGTTGGCTGGTTCAACGAGTTGAGCCTGGTCGTAAAGACCTGCTTTGAAAAAATGATGATGTTTCATCAACACCATATATACCGGTAACGCAGTGTTCAAAGTCGGATACTTTGATCCGCAGAGTTTTTCAGTTGCGTCGCTGAGTGGTGCAAGGAATTTCATAAAATTTTCGGCTTGATCCCATTCGGCTGATGTTAGAAGACAAGAAGTTGCCTCCTTGTTGGTTTGGCAGAAGTGATCGCACGAGTTCTTAAGAACAATCGCTCGTTGGAACATTTGAAAGGTTGAATTCCACCTGGTAGACACATCAATCTCCAGACAGGTGATTTTGGCACCACTTTCGCGAAGTTTGGGTTGTATAAAATTGACGACTTCCCGGAATCGTTCACGACGTTGTGGAGAGAACCGGACAAAGTTACATAGACCGTGGACTCGTTTGAGGATGGTCTTCAAGTTGAGGCCGATACCATCAGGTTGAGTGGTCAAATTGGTGACCCTCATCACTGATTGAGCTGGTCGCGGTTCCTCATTCTCGACATCATTCGACAAGTCCATTTCTGAGGTCGGGAGATTGTCGATGTCTTTATCTTGGAGGCCAGTTCCTAGGACACTTAACCCTGCCTGAGCTCCAAGATTAATGACATGTGCAACACAACCTAGTAGCTGCTTCTTGGTGTCAAAACCAGGCAGTTGAAGCTCTAGTTCTTTTGCCATCTTGTTGTTCGTAGTCGCATTGTCGGCGGTGATGGTATGTATCTATCCGTACATTCATATTTCGCGAG